TATATATATAATTCATTGTATATCATTTTTTATGCAGACTCACCCGCTCATATTTACTACTAATGGACCAATTTGATTAAATAAATCCAATAAAACTGGCTTTAACATACATGCTTACAGTCAAATCAAGTGGTTCTAAGAGTCAAATCCAACAAGACTAATATCATTTAATTATGAAGCATTAAGGTACCAAATAATTTAATATGGGATATCCGATAAAATGTTATAAAATTTTAGCTAAATTTACTAAAATATGGCAACCAAAATGCTAAAAATAAACTCTTATTCTCTATATGAAAGGGACTTCGGCTTGATATTTTGAGAGAGTTTGGAGATTTGAATAATTTTAGAGGTCTATATGATGTTCAAAGCTATTGATCTCCACTATCCATCATTGTCATTTGACTCTAATCATTGGACTGCCATCATATGACTATCATCATCTAACCATCATTTCTCAATAATCATTATTTAAACATTATTGTCTTACCATCATCATCTAACAACCTTAAGCTCATTTTATTCCAAGGTCTTCAAGGTAAATTCTGAATAAATGATTCTTAATTAAACAATTCAATATGAACAATTCAATGAAGTGTTGTGGAATTTTGGCTAAATATATCAAAATAGAACTCTTAAACTACTATAAGTAAACCCTAATTCTCCCTGTGAAAGTTACCTAGGCTTGAGATTGGATAGAACTTGTAGACTTGAAGAAGTTTAAGGCTTTATTTGACATTTAACACTGACGATCACTACTAGCTACCATTATCATCTAAATATCATCATCCAATTATCATTATACAAACACTATTGCTCTACTAATGTTGTTTGACTATTATCATCTTATAACCATCATTTTATCATCATCTTTCATCCTCTATCATCTAACTTAATTGTGTGATTGACATCATTCATTTTTCATCATTATATCTCTACAAAATCTTCCATAATTTATAATATAACTATAAAAGACCAATAAGTGCCCGAATATTTATAATCTTGTTTTTTCGAGTTGTGAAGATGAGCAAACTTCTATAATTACACGTACATAATGGATTATTTTAACTAGACGAGTCTTTCAAATATTTTTTTATGTAAATCCTAGCTTTTCCCTTTCCATATTTTTCATGTAAATCCTCTGGTGTTTTCCGTTCTTTTCTTTTATACATACATGTTATGAATCTTTGTGCAAACTATAATATTAAATTCTCTCTCTATATCATTATGATTTTTCTAGCAAACAAGTTTCAAAATGAATGAATTTATTTTGATTTGAGTAATTTAATTTAAATTTAACTAATTACATATGCTTTACAATTCACTCAAAATAAATTCATAATTTTAAAGTTCATGGTGGTTAAAATGAAATCAAGATATATTGGCCAAAATGTTTTTCCTAATTATTTTATGAACAAGAGATACTTGAACAAAATTTAGAAAAAATTTTAAATAGAATAACTATGCTCATTTTTATATTTAAAATATATAAGGACATTTACATACATACCATAGGGCTTTTATAGATTTATATATTTAACATGTAAATGTTTATATTTACCTAAATAACACTTAACTCACTAAATCACATAAAAATTAAAATTTTAAGTAGCTTTTCTAAAATTAAATATATTTTTTTTTGCATATATTTTAAAGAGACTTAAATACTATTGAGTTATAAAAATAAAAAATGAAAACTTAGGTGTTACATATGTAAATAGACATATAAAATGGATTGTAGATAAATGCTCCTAAAATTAATTTAAATGAATCCTATCTCAAGGAATTAAACAAGATATTGAGATTAGTTATTGCTAATGTACAAATTCCTGATAGTAGTGTAACATAAATTAGTTTAAGAAAATAGTTGTTAAATTAATTATGATTATATTTTTAACACTCTATTATGTTATGTTCCATAAGTAATATGGTTTTGGAGCTTGGGGAGGCGTTGTGATGTTGGGTCAAATTTCATCCACTTAAACTCTCACCTCATCCCTCCCCCTCCCCATTTTTCTAACACTGCCGTTGCCAGGTCCCAAGTCCTGGATGAGAAAAGTGGAGGGTTGCGTTAGGTAGTCGACAGCCAGCGTAAAACCTGTCGAACAAAAATGACATGAATCCTTTAAGAAATTGTGTTAATGCTAGGGCGTCCCCTGGAAGCGACGCGCTGTATGGCCTGAATACAGTGACAAGTGTGCAAGGGCCGCTGCACCGGCGCCCGGGTGCAGTGTTAAATAGGCAAGGGTTCCCACATCAAGGACGGATGTGGGCAAAGAAGCTAGTCCATGATACTAAAATTAGGATAGGAACTTGGAATATAGGTTCCCTTACAGGTAAATTAATGGAGTTAATAGATATTATGATTCATAGGAAATTAAATATTTTATGCATTCAGGAAACTAAGTGGGTTGGAGAGAAGGCTAAGGAAATCGATAGTTTAGGATTTAAACTTTGGTATTCGGGTAGGAGTCGTACTAGAAATGGTGTAGGTATCATTATAGATAAGAGTTTAAAGGATAATGTTATAAAAATTAATAGGATTGGTGATAGAATTATAGCTTTAAAGATTGTTGTTGAGGATAAGATTGTTAATATTATAAGTGCTTATGCTCCTCAGGTAGGTTTGGATATAAGTTCTAAATTAAATTTTTGGAATGACTTGGAAGAATTATGGGATATCCAATAAAATGTTATCAAATTTTAGCTAAATTTACTAAAATATGGCAACCAAAATACTAAAAATAAACTCTTATTCTCTATATGAAAGGCACTTAGACTTGATATTTGGAAAGAGTTTGGAGATTTGAAGAATTCTGGAGGTCTATATGATCTTCAAAGCTATTGATCTCCACCATCCA